CCGCCCATGCACCTGGGAGCTGTTGGCCTCAGCTTCTCCCCACCGGCACATCTGAAACAGGATGAGTTAAACTTCCAAGTCTCCTGTTGCTGCTGCTGCTACGGGGGAGTTGGTGGATGGATGGGCCGGTGAGGGGAGAGCGTGTCTCCAAGAAGTCCCTGGCTGTTCAGGTCTCACATTTCAGATTTCATCACAACAGCAGTGCCCCTGGCACCTCCTCCCCTCCCTTCCCCGACACGGAGCCTTGGCCAGCTACTTTCCATTGCAGGAAACATCTGCTGGGGAGGCCAGGCTAGGCCGGGGGTTACTGGAGGACGTTGGCCGGTACCATCACCCAGATCCTGTAACTCGAAGCGTGTGTAGGGCTCCGGCCCTGCCCGCCCACCCGCCCTGCCTCCCCGCCCCCCACTCCTGCCACGGGCGATTCTAACAAAGAAGTTGTTTGCTGGTCAGCTGAGAGGAGCGCGTCTGGGAGGCAAGGGGGTGGGGTGGGGGGAGCGGGCCCTGGTGCCCCAGCCAGCGGTGGCCACGCTGCCTGAGTGAGGACCGTGAGTCACAGCAACCAGCGCCCGCCCAGAGCAGTGACTGCACGTTGAACAGGCTGCCTTACGGGACGGGCCAGACGGAGCTGGGGAGTTGGACGTCTGTCCTCCCTGGAGTTTCAGACCAGCCGTGAGCCACTGTACTTACTGTGTGTGAGTAACGGTGGGGCGGGACTCTGGCGGCCCTGTGCACCTGCCCCGTCCTCCGCGTCCTGGCCGCAGCTGGCCCCTCGGAGCGGCTGTCCACGCTGACCCGGAGGAGGGGCCCCCTCACGTCCCACCTGGGTCCCCCGCAGCCTGGAGACCTGCCACGCTGGGAGCCGAGTGCGATGAGGCAGAGCCCGGCCCCTGGAGACTCTGGCCCGCCCGCCTGAGAACCTTGCTGACCGCGCCCTCCCACCCGTGAGGCTCTGCGCTGGGAACCGGGCTCTAGGGGCACCAGGGGGGCCAGTGAGGGTCACACAGACCCGCTGCCAAGGAGCCAGAGGCCACCTCTCTGCGTCCAGCCCCGGCGAGACTGACTGGTTGCATCCTGTGGGGACGGTGGGGGGTCGGAGTTCGAGGACTGGGATGGAATCTCTGACGGAATCGGGGGTCCTCTGGAGCCTCCTGCTGGAGCAGGACAGCCAGCCCCTGCAGCGGCGCCTGGAGAAACTGACGGATGGACCTGCCGGCGCGGAACTCTGCTGCCGGCCCGGGTCTGAGGAAATCCCAGCCGTGAGTGCGCATCCTCACTTCTCTGCGCCGTGTGACAGGTCTGCCGCGCCCTTGTTGTTCTCCACCTGGCCCTGCTCCCTGAGAGCAGGGGTTTGACAAGCCTTGGACCAGAAGTCTTTGGCCATTTAAAATGAAAATAGGTGAGCCGTGCCTCCCCTTCGGAGGAGACGGCTTTAAGAGCACAAGGGCGCCAGGGAGAGGGGGTCACGGTCTCCCGGGACAAGAAGGTGGATGGTGGCGGGGCCAGCTAAGGCCTCTGTGCTTTAGACTCTAGGAGGAGAGCCTGCCTGCCTTCCACGCTGGCAGCCTGCTCAGATCAGGGCAGTGACTTGCAGGCCTGGGTTAAGGAGGTCCGAGGCCCCGCCGAGGCAGCCCTCGCAGAACTGGCTGACTTCTGAGGTCGGGGCTGGATGGGCCCTCCCCTCCCCATAGCCACGGCTTTGTTCCCAGGGTAGGAGAGGGCGGCTCCCTCCCTTTGCCTCTGGTCTGGAGCTTAGGGCCAGACTCCCTGTGCCTGCATCTCTGTCCATGTCTGAGTCCTCACTGGATGTGAGAGAAGCAGGGGTGACAGAGCGCCACGGAGGGAGCATTTAGAAAGGGGAGGACTTCCAGGCTGCAGGCAATTGGATGCCTGATGTCCACTTTCAACTGAAGGGGGTCCGGGGCCACCTGGTAGGCTGGTCCTCAGGCTGATATTGGAACTTTAAGACCGACTTGACTGATAACAGTTTTTTAAAACGTTGTGGGGTTTCCCCGGCGGTCCAGTGGTTAGGGCTGTGCGCTTTCACTCCGCCAAGGCCTATGTTCGATCCCTGGTCGGGGAACTAAGATCCCGCAAACCGCATGGCGTGGCCAAAAAAAGAGAAAGAAGTATATGGTAAAATACACATAACATAAAATTTACCGTCTCAGATATTTCTAAACATACATTTCAGCAGTGTTAAGTATGTTCACATTGTTGTACACCCAATTTCCAGAACTTGCAAAACTGAAACCATACCCCCGCCCCAAAAAAGCCCCAGTTGCAGGCATGGAAGGCTAGTGGGGGCCCCACGCGTAAGTGAACACCTCATCCACAAGAGGGTGTGCTCAGCTGAGGCATCGCTGTTGTTTCCTCCTTGGCGCAAGGATCCTGAGGCAGTGCAGAGTGATGGCTCAGACCCAGAGCTGTGGACCACACTGCCCGCTCTGGTTCATATTCCACACTCGCGTTTAGTAACCACGTGCCTTGGGCAAGTTGCTTAACCTCTCTGTGCCTCAGCTTCCTCGCATCTAAAACGGGATCATAAAAACGACCCTGTGGTCAGATGAGAGGATGTCGTGAAGGGCTTATGATAGTTTTTGATGCAGGGTCATATCTCACTCCACGTTAGCTCTGCAAGGTCGGTTAGACGTAATTAGGAACTTCCTGACTGTCAGGTGCTCAGGCAAGGGTTTTCAGTGAGTGGGCTCTGTTCTGTGAGGCCAGGGGGCCACTGAGATTGGATACCTCAGTATCAGTTTGATGGGTCCGAGGAATGTTGTCTTCTGAGGTCTTTTCTAGCCGTAGAAGTCACGGGATGGGCTGGCTTCCAGACATTCCCTCCCAATGACCCCGATACTTGGTTCAAACATATGGTCGGTGAGTTCTGAAGTTTGGGATTCTACAGCATATCTGTTGCTTTGGGGAAGGTAGCAGAGGGTCCACTTGCACATACAAAACTCATTTTATAAATAAATAAGCCAAAACAAGAGTTTAAATGTCGAATTAACTATGGACAAAGTAGCTGAAAGCACTCCTCTTCTTTCTCTCTTACCTGGAAAACCTCCCCCTGTTTTCTCTCCTCCAACTTCCTGAAATCCTCCTGTTCCCTCTGGTACAGGTAGTCACCGAGCTCAGGTAGTCAGTGCCTGCTGCCAGGGTGGTCAGGCCGCAGCCTCAGCTGTCTCACGGGCCGTTAGCTTTGCAGAAAGCCAAGAAACGAAACAGTGCAGAGTTCACTCCATTGTCGCCACAGCTGTATGCCAGTGGATTCCCAGGGAAGTGGGCGAGAAAGCATAAATGGCCAAGAACCATCTGTCAGCAATAGCAGGACGGTTTGTCTACCTGCGTGTGTTCCTGGCATAAGTAGGTCAACAAGTCACCTGGGTGGAGTGCAGATGTCTCTGTCATGAGGCCTGGCCCTTCCCGGGTTGTGCGCTTGTCTTCGTGTATCATCCTTGGGTGCCTTTCACCTATGGGCACACGATTGATTGTAAGCTTGGAAAGAGCAGGATTCCTGTCTGTTCAACTGGTTCATGGAATTTCCAAGAAGGATTCATTAAGGCAATTGATGGGTTTGAGTTTTCACTGAGGCACCAAAACGCTAGGTGGGTTCAGGGGTGTCTGGCAGCACAGGTGATGGTGGGAGGTGAGCACAGAACCAGGGGTCGAGACTTCTGCCAACTGACCAGCCAGAGGACTTTTGGTCAGGGACTTCTCTCCGGGCTTAGTTTCCTCATTGGTAACGTAAGGTTTGGATTAGATAGTCTTCTAAGGGATGGTGAGGGAGTGAAGTTTGGGTACCTCAAGTTGCCAGATGTTTTTTTGTTTGTTTTTACTTATTTATTTTTGGCTGCTTTGGGTCTTTGTTGCTGCACGCGGGCTGTCTCTAGTTGCGGCGAGCAGGGGCTACTCTTCGTTGTGGTGTGCGGGCTTCTCATTGCGGCGGCTTCTCTTGTTGCGGAGCATGGGCTCTAGGCGCGCAGGCTCAGTAGTTGTGGCGCATGGGCTTAGTTGCTCCGCGGCACGTGGGATCTTCCCTGACCAAGGCTCAAACCCGTGTCCCCTGCATTGGCAGGCGGATTCTTAACCACTGCACCACCAGGGAAGCCCGCAAGATATGCTTTTAAATTCCCTACTTGTGTGCTTTTTTTTTTTTTTTTTAGTACTAGTTTGTTTGTTTGTTTGTTTTGCGGTACGCAGGCCTCTCACTGTGGTGGCCTCTCCCGCTGCGGAGCACAGGCTCCGGACGCGCAGGCTCAGCGGCCATGGCTCACGGGCCCAGCCGCTCCGCGGCACGTGGGATCTTCCCGGGCCGGGGCACGAACCCGTGTCCCCTGCATCAGCAGGCGGACTCTCATCCACTGCACCACCAGGAAAGCCCTAGTGCTAGTTTTATGAGGTTTTTTTTTTTTTAGTCCACTCTTTGTAAAGGTGTAATTCCTCGCTCCACCCCCACCAGTTTTATTGAGCTATAACTGACATAACATTGTACTAGTCTTATGTTTGATGATTTCCTTTTTCCAGTCATGAAGTTCAGACACAGCCAAGTGCTCACTGTGTTACTCGTGATGACAGCTTCTTCTGAGGGCTACACTGGGCACCGTCATATCCTGGGTCCTGCCGGGGGGTGGGGGTGTCCCCTTGGTCCCCTTGGGCCTGCTTCACTGTCACGGTGGTGCTTCCTGCTGTCAGAGGCAGAACAGCAACAGCCCAGGGCTGTCCCTCCTCCCTTTGTCCACTTGGGATGTTGTGTGGGCCCTGCTCAGTATGTTTGACATTTTCTCACTGATGGACACTGGGTATAAAGCCTTCTGCAGCATCAAATTCTCTCCACCATGTTTTTCCGTACCCAGCCCCCTTTGCCTAAATCCTGGGGTCTCTGACGCAACAGAGCCTCAGCTTTGCCTTGAAACACGCAAGCAGGTGCCCCTCCCACACCTTCCTCCCCAGCCCGTGAACCTGGGAACATCCTGCTAACCTTGGCCATTGTCACGCAGGTGTTAAGCCCCACTTACAAGCAGAGAAATGAAGACTTCAGAAAGCTCTTTAAGCAACTTCCAGACTCGGAGCGCCTCATCGTTGGTGAGCTGGGTGACCTGCGTGTGGGGGCAGGAAGGCAATCAGGCTGCTTCTGAGTACAGGTTCCCCAAGTAAGAGCATCTGTCTGGGAATAGGGAGCGAGGAGGTCCAGGGAGCTGGCCCCAGCGGTGGGGACTCAGGGCTGAGCCCCACTTGCCTGATGGCCTCCAGAGAGCCCGGCCTGGGAGGCGTCGCTGCCACTCTTGTCCCTCCAGATGGCCCTGCGGAGGCGGGGCTGGGGAAGTTGTGGAGGGGGAGGGGCGTTGGTTGAATTGTATCGGCCTTTTCGCCCTCTAACGTAGTTCACATCGTTCCCGTGCCCGATCGGGAGATGCCAGGGACTCCCTTGGCCGCCAGACCAGTGTTTCACACACCTAGTCCGTGGTGGGCAGTTGGGCTTCCCGGGGCTGTCGGGGGATGGCTTGCCTGATTGCACTGGTTTGCCGAGAGCGCTCCCTGTCCCTGAGCTCCGTCCCACATTCTACCACAGATTACTCCTGCGCGCTCCAAAGAGACATTCTCCTTCAGGGCCGACTCTACCTCTCTGAGAACTGGATCTGCTTCTACAGCAACATCTTCCGCTGGGAGACTCTGGTAAAGACCTGGGGCTGCTCCCCGGGGCCGGCCCCTGGGCTGTGGCTGAGGACGCGGCCCTCACTTCTGTCCTCCGCTTGACTTCATACTCTGCCCAAGCCTTTGCATAATTCACAAAAGCACGTGCCTGAATCTGGAAGGATAGATCTCTCTACCATGCCTTCCCCTGCCTCCTCCTCGGGTGAGCATTTGATTTTGGGGAAGCGCAGGTAAATATCTGGCAGGAGTCACCACGGAGGCAGAAGTGTAGGGTAAAACGGGCACTGGCCTTGGGACTCAGGAGAACGGGCTTGTACTTTCTGGGTTCTGCAGCCAATTAGCTGTGTGATTTTAGGCTTGTCCTTTATTCTTTATTTGCCTTGTTTCCTAATCTTATAAAATAAAGTGAGAAAGGACAGACTAGATGACTCTAAGGTCCCATCCAGTGCCAGTGTTCTGTGTTTCTGTAAGTGGCACATCGTGATGGGACCTCTGCACATTTACCAGGCTGTGTAGGAATGAGAAAGCAAAGCTCCTTGAACCAAGAATCAAGAGAACGTTGGGCGAGGCTCGCCGTGTGGCCTCTGAAATAAGGGGCCAAACCAGGTGATCTCTAAGGAGGTCCCTTCCAGGTTTAGAAGTATGCAGCCTGTGATCTGATTTCCTCTGTCTGAACTGGTGCCGTGTGAACACTCTGCCTGACTCTATTAATATGCCTCTTCTTGCTCGTTATCCATTCTCTGTTTCTGTGCGGATGCCAGCTGACCGTTCGTTTGAAAGACATCTGCTCCATGACTAAAGAGAAAACAGCCCGCCTCATTCCCAATGCCATCCAAGTTTGCACTGACTCGGAAAAGGTAAGTAGAGCCTGATCCTGGACTTTCTGTTCCCCCAAACCCCAGTCCCCCTACTCCTGGATTTCTGCCCTTCAGTTGCACTAATACGGAGGCCAGTAGGATTGGGGTGAGAGGTGGTAAGTTGATGCACATTACGGGAGCCACCTCCGTGGTGGGCAGGGTGCTTGGGGTCTGAGCAGGGGGTGAGGTGGAGTGGCAGAACGTCGGACTTGGAGCCAGAACACCTGAATTAGAGTCCCGTGGCTGTAGGTACATTATGTAACCTCTCTGAGCCCCAGTTTGTAAATGTAAAACGGAGCCAGCAACGCCTATTTAACAATCGGAAATGACCTCACACACTTGAAAACACTAAACTGCAAAGTGCTATACAAATGTAAGCTGTATCATCATATATCAGGACAGCTCATCAAGAGGGATGAAGAGTCTGATAGGAAACAGACTGTCCATATCGTCAGCATGGGGAAAATGTAGATAAAATTTAGAGCGGAGGAAACACTGTGATCTTTGACCTTTAACCAGAGCCTGAAGACTGATAGCTTCGGGGCTAGGGCTGGACTGAGCACAGGTCTACAGTGCCCGTGAACTCAGGCACTTCAGAGGCAAGAACCCTGAGACTTAGGGGTCCAATAGTCTTTGCTTTGAAGCAGCTTTGTGATTACAGAGGTCACCTAACCTCACCAGCCGGTTTCTCTTTATTAAGTATTCGCAGTTATGTTTATTTTCCAAAGCTTCTGTGGGGTTTAAGTGAAGGAGCATTTGTGAAGCACCTAGAATGTGTTCAGTAAAATCTGGTTTTCTGTCGCTTTCTTCCCGCACATTATAAGAGGTCCCCACGAAAGCGTAAGCTCCATAAGAGCTTTCTGTTTTGTTTGTTACTGTGCCCAACACATGTAGAAGGGCGTGTGCACATGTATTAGTGTGTGTACACGTGAGTGCACACACTAATGTTCAAGTATTTGCTGAGTTGATGAATCAAAGGGTGAGTGGGTGAGTGGGTTTGCCTTCTCCTTCCCTTGGGCTGGTTCCCAGCTCACCACTCACCCAGTCCATGTACGTAGGCGCAGGAAGTTTCTAATGGAGGTGGAAACTTCAAACCAGAAAGAGAACCACTGACGAAAGTGTGGGTGAACATTGAAGGACATGGAGACAGTGCGGACTCAGAGGTCCCAGGTCCCTGGTCCCTGGTGTGCTGACCCCGTTCACTACAGAGCCCCTGTGCTGTGATCACGGGTGACTGAGAGTCCGCAGTATTTGAGGATGGACTCAGGAGCCTTTCTTAAAGGAAGGAGTACCGTGTCTCCATTCACTATATTGTAAGTCTTAACAGACATTTCTTGCCGTTTTCTCGTTCAATCCAGCACTTTTTCACTTCATTTGGGGCCCGGGATAGGACGTATATGATGATGTTCCGGCTCTGGCAGAATGCTCTCCTGGAAAAGGTGAGTCCTGCCCAGCTCCTTCAGCCTTAGGATGCACACACACCTAGAATGTTCTTTCCCCTTGGGTGGGGGTTACTGTGACAATGGCCTGCTCCAGAGAAGCCCATGCCTCTCCTGGTTCTGAAGTCCTCCAGGTTCGCGGTACCATATCCTCCACTGCTGGTGACCCAGGTGCTGAGAGGAGCACATCCTCTTACGTGAACAGCTTCACTGCTGCCTGGAGCAAGGCCCTGTTGACAGGGCAGTGCATTCCCGCTGTTTTAAAACGCACTGGGGTTTGTTTTAATCAGGTGCGGTAAGACGCCCAGACACAGAAATGACTGTCATGAAGGAAGCAGTTTTTATACTCACAGATCCCTAGAAGCAGAGGCCCAGCATGCCAGGCAGGGCCACACGGGGAAGCTCGAGGTCAGACAGGAGGCAGAGAGAGCGAGGGGGAAGCGGGGCAAGAGCCTTCATTGCAGGTTTTCATGGGAAAGGATGAGTGAGGCAGGGGGAGCTGGCCAAGCAGCTCACTGGACTGGCTAGTTTGAATGTTTCACTGGGCTTCGTGGTAGAGAGACCGTCTCCAGAGAGACTGTCCCGGGGTAATTAGCGCGAGAGAGTATTGGCCTGGCATGTAAGAGCTAGAAAAACAAGGTGGTTCGGTGTGTGGGCTTTGGCTTGGCCGGTTTACATAGGGAAGGCGGTCTCCCTGACAGGGTGACTTCTATCTCTAGGAATTAGCTCACCCTGCAAGGGGCAGGCCTTCCCCCAGTCAGCAAGGCCTCAGATGCTAGAGCATCAAAAATACGGAAAATAGGACTGGGAGTTTGGGGTTAGCAGATGCAAAGTCTTGTATATAGAATGGATAAACAACAAGGTCCTGCTGTATAGCACAGAGAACTGAATCTATCACAGGATATATTCAATATCCTGTGATGAACCATGCAGAAAAGAATATGAAAAAGAAAGCATGTCTATGTATATATGTATATAACTGAATCTATATACATATGTATACGTGTAACTGAGTCACTTTGCTGTACAGCAGAAATGAACACAGCATTGTGAGCCAACTATACTTCAATAGAATAAGCTTTAAAGAAATGCAGAAATAGGAAGATAGAGTTAACACAGCCACCGGTTGATCACCTGGATGAAGGGGACACTGTGGGAGATGCAGATGGAGACGTGGCTGTGCAGCCTGTGCACGCAGATGCCGGGGGTGTTGAGAAACAGCCTCCCAGCCAGGGAAGGAGACCTGGGGGAACAATTATGTAATATAATTATATAATATTGTAATTACAATTATATATATGACTTGTATGTATTTAAATTTATGTATGTGTGTATCTACCTTGACTCTAGCCCAAACTTACTACTGTCTAAAGAAAATTAAATAGATTTGTTATTTAGAGTTTCCTCTAACCTGGAAGTCTGTAGCCTTCGTATAAATCCTGGTAACTTATTCTGAGTTGATTGTCTACCTTTATTAGGCCATGGATAATGGTAAACTGAGAAATGTGTCTGAGGCTCCATGGCAGGTATGAATTTTCAGCTCACAACCACTGTCATTTCTAACTAAGACAGAGGGTCATCCATATGGTTCGCAAAAACTCTCACAAAATCACATCAGAATTCTGCCTGATGAGCAGGCTCTGCTATTTGTGCTTGGCCTGGCTGTGGTCAGACAAGCTGAGCCTGGTGGGGCTGGTCAGGGAAGGCTGCGTGAAGCAGGTGAATTGTGGAGAAGGGGAGGGCGTGGATTGGCAGAGACGCGGATGTGTCCCGGGCAGGGTGGATGGTGTATGTAAAGGCTGCTGGGAGGAGGGAGGAGGTCCAGGTACAGAAGCAAGTGCCTCCCTCTGGCACTGGGGCGGGGTCGGGGGTGCGGCCAGCACAGAGAGCTGCCACCCCTTCCAGCTCACAGAGAGCCCCGACTGTGCCATTCCAGGCAGTTCTCCTTAGCCGGGAACGCGGAGACCTGGCTCATGGCATCCTGCCAGCTGCGTGCTTCTTAAACCATACCTCGGAAGGAGGGGGTCAGAGAAAGCTCAAACTCCTTATCAAATCCGTTGGTGGGAACATTCTTTAAGTTTGATTTTCTTTTTTTATATAAATTTATTTACTCATTTATTTTTGGCTGCATTGGGTCTTTGTTGCTGTGCGTGGGTTTTCTCTAGCTGTGGCGAGCGGGAGCTACTCTTCGTTGCGGTGCGAGGGCTTCTCACTGCGGCGGCTTCTCTTTGTTGCGGAGCACAGGCTCTAGGCAGGTGGGCTTCAGTAGTTGTGGCACGCGGGCTCAGTACTTGTGTCTCACGGCCTCTAGAGTGCCAGGCTCAGTAGTTGTGGTGCACGGGCTTAGTTGCTCTGCGGCACGTGGGGTCTTCCTGGACCAGGGCTCGAACCCGTGTCCCCTGCATTGGCAGGCGGATTCTTCACCACTGCACCACCGGGAAGTCTCTGCCTCTGTATTTCTTAATGCTTCTCTTTTTCACATACTTATCCCTCCCACCTTCTCTCCCTCCTCCCAACCTTGGACTCATCCATGGTCTCCACCTTTGACCTTCATTCTTTGACATTCTGTTGCCTCATTTCCAAAACTCTGAACCTCAATGAGAGCTAACTTTTCTTAGGACAGGGCTTTCGAGGAGGACATGTAGACACCCGGTGAAATGAGAAAAACTGTTTATGGAACTAATACACAGAACTGTAGGCAGACTGATTGTAATTAAGAATAAAGAAGGAAGTATTCAAGTAGTGAAGAGAGGGCTGGATGCAATGACCTTTGAGGCCCCTGAAACTATGAGAATGTAGACTTCTTTCCAAGCACAGGAACTGCCCAACTGTGGAATGGGCCACCTTTTGAGGTCACACCTCATTCTTGGACCTGATCCATCTTGGGTCAGGTCTGTCAGGACCTGTGTGACCACTGTTAGTATAAGGAGGTTTCTGCCGTGTGGGCGAGACTGGCCCAGGGGCCTCTGGTGCTCATTCTGAGTCCAAGTCAGAAACTCTGTGATCACTTTGGCCCAGAGGAGTTTTGGTTTGTGCCGCTGAACGCCGGACCTCAGCCACAGGAGCAAGAGGCGGGCGGTTGCCATCCTCAAGGGCCTGTTGGTCCCACCGTGCAAACCTGAGTTGAGGGAACAGGCCAAGCTCCTGGCTTTACTAAAAGCCATATTCTTAGGGGGAAGATGGGCGTCTTGCTGAGATCAGAAGAGCGGGGGGTGGGGTTGTTGTGGAGGCGCTGCCCTCTACTTAGTCCAGCCCAGGCGGGTGGAGTTTGGCTTCTCCTACCCTTGGGGGAGTCCAGCTCAACTCAGTGCCTCTGTGGAGAGTGGGGTCCTGAGGAAGGGAGGGTCAGATCCTGTCTGCTGTCCCCTGCAGCCCCTGTGCCCCAAGGAGCTCTGGCACTTCGTTCACCAGTGCTACGGGAATGAGCTGGGCCTGACCAGCGATGACGAGGACTACGTGCCCCCCGATGACGACTTCAACACGATGGGGTGAGTGAGGCAGAGGGCAGGCTGCCTGGGGAAGCCTCTCCAGAGGGGTGAGGGCGGCTGGGGAATGGCGTCTAAGTAAGGCCCTGGCGGAGTGAGGGAGGCCCCGGGAGGCCCCTCCCAGGCGGAGGGAGTGGAAGCGGCAGCTGGGCCAGCGAGCAAAGGGCAGGTGGCAAGGGCAGGTGGGAAGCGGGGAGGCCGGGGAGGCCGGGCTGGACTCTGAGGGCAGCTGGGTCAGCATGATGATTGGCTTTTCCTCAGAGGGGGATGAGAAGCCAGGGAAGGCTTTGAATAGATAATTGATGAGATCTGACATAACATTTTAACATCACTCTGGCTCCTGGGTTGAAGACAGAGTGAAGGGGAGCCAGGGCAGGCTGGCTAAGAGGCTGCCGAATAATTTAGATCATTTAGATGAGAGGTGATGGTGGTTTGGACCAGGAAGGTAGCAGTAGAAACAGCAGTTAAGTGGTTAGTTTCTGAATATATTTGGAAGATAGAACCAGACATATTTTGAAGGATTTGCTGATGGCTCAGAAAGGATCCAAAGGTGGCTTTAAGGATGTACCAGCAGGAAGGATAGGGTTGTCCTGAACTCAGATGGACAATACTATAAGCACAGCAGATGCGGGGGAAGGTCAGAAGCTTGATTTTAGGTGAGTTGAGTTTGAGATGACTGTGAGCCATGTGGAGAGGTCACATAAGCATCTGTGTGTGTGAGCGCGGGGTTCACCAGGAGGTCTGGGCTAGGGACATAACCCTGGGGGTTACTAGTGGCTGAGACCCACCGGGTGACTGAATTCACATGAGAAGAAGGTCAGGGACTGGGCCTGGGAGCAACTCAACCAGAGAAGGAGGCGGCGCAAGAAATCAGAACCTGGGGGTAAGACAGGAATAAAGACACAGCCCTACTGGAGAACGGACTTGAGGGTATGGGGAGGGGGAAGGGTGAGCTGTGATAGGGCGAGAGAGAGACATGGACACATATATATACTAACAAACGTGAGGTAGACAGCCAGTGGGAAGCAGCCGCATGGCACAGGGAAACCGGCTCGGTGCTTTGTGACCGCCTGGAGGGGTGGGATAGGGAGGGTGGGAGGGAGGGAGACAAAGAGGGAAGAGATGTGGGAACATGTGTACATGTATAACTGATTCACTCTGTTATAAAGCAGAAACTAACGCACCATTGTAAAGCAATTATACCCCAATAAAGATGTGGAAAAAAAATTTTTTTAAATAAAAAAAAAAAAGAAATCACAAAAGAACATTCAGTGAGGGAGGAGGAGTGCTAGGAGAGTTTTCGTATCCTGGAAACCAGGGGAAGGAAGCTGTGAGGAGGAGGGGCTGTCGCTGCACCACGTGCTGTTGGCAGGCTAAGACAGATGGGACTGCAGAGTGATACAATATGCTTGAGGTTGGAAGGTAGGGGCTTGGTGGTCATGTGAGAGGCAAGAGGAATGGACAGCAAGGAAAGAACGTCAAACGTGTGGTGCGTAGCCCAGGGCTCAGGTACCACTTCTGACACTTAATAGTAGTTATCACTTAGCCTCTGTGAATATCTACTTGATAATCTCTGAAACGCATGGAATGATTTACTCAGAGTTGTTATGCATCCAGATGAGGTAACGCGTAAAGTATAAATTAGATGCTGATGACGACGGTGATGATGATTTCTCCCTTGGGGGAGGCTCCGATGGCATCCCTGAAGTGTCCGCGGAAGGGCACCTGCCTTTATCTCAAGGAGGGTTTTTCCTCAGGTGTGCAATGCAGAGAAGTTTGCTAGTTATGATCCAGAATCTGGGCAGGTACCCCCGAAGGGCACTCATGTCCAGAGTCCTGTCCTGGTCACTGTGGGAAATCAGATGTATGCTCGGAGCCCGGATGTTTGATTCACATGGTCAGGTTGGGGTGGGATGGGAAGCCAATGGAAAAAGAAAGTTTAAGACAGGCAGTTTTCGTATTTAGGTGGGGATAAATCTAAGGAGGGTGCCTAGAAAAGGTGAGTTTGGGGACAGGATTTTACCACGGGGAGGGGGTGTCAGGTGGGAAGGAGGTTTTAGGAGAGCAGTTCGGGGGCAGCGAGAGGTTTGAGGAAGGTCACACACAAAGCAAAGAAGCAGGAAAGCCCATAGTTTTGGATGGATCGGTGGGCGTGAGTTTCTTGCGAGTCTGCCGTCTTGGCCGCTGAGGCTAACGTGGGTTCACACCGTCTCTTTTCAGCTACTGTGAGGAGATCCCTGTAGAGGAGAATGAAGTGAATGACAGCTCATCCAAAAGCAGCATAGAGACCAAGCCGGATGCCAGTCCACAGCTGCCCAAGAAGTCCATCACCAACAGCACGCTGACATCCGCGGGGAGCAGCGAAGCGCCCGTCTCGGTACGGGCGAGGAGCCCTTTGCTTCCACCCAGTCCAGTGGCAGTGTTGCCCAGCCTTGTTAACTCCACGGGACCCCAACCTGGGGAGCAGGTAGAGGGGAGGTTGGTTACACTGTGGTCGGTTTATGCAGGGCGGCATCCTGGGGCAGAGGGACTCTCTGCATTCAAATGAGTGTAGCATCCAGAGCTGGGTTCTTGGCGCTTCAGGTTCCAGATTTTGTTTGGCTTCGGAGCAGATGAGAACCATTTCAAGTCCACTGTGTGAGCTTTGCTCTTGGTGGGCTGCTGTGATCAGCCCACTGGTGGAGAACTATTCCAGGTCTTTGTTTTTTCACTGCCTCGATCTAAAGTCAAAGTTGTACATCAAGAGAGGACTGCAGAACTGCTATCTGTTCATTCATTCCGTAAATCGTGATGGAGTTCCTAGTGTCGACACTCCGGTTTATTTTCCTGCTGTGCTAGACTTTGCAGAAGAGACAGAAATGTATAAGAAGGACTCTGTCCTCTGGGACTTGGTTATAGAGGGGATAGAAGCTTGTTGAGGGAAGTGTCTGGGTGTGAGCTGGCAGGTAGAAGAAAAGGATTCCCAGAAAAGGGAGCCTCTTGTATTCCAGTGGCTTAGGGGTCAGACCACTTGGCCTTAGAGTGAAAGCATCATCCATTTGATGCCTAGTCTCCATTTTCTGTCTCAGAGGTTGACTTTGAAATGTAAAGAGTTGTACCCATTCCCTCCCAGGGCTAATGGGAGAATGAATCAAAAACTGCTTAGGAAGCCTTTTGAGCCTCTCAGAAAACAGGGCACTAGTTGGAGGCAGGCCCACGTTGTTACAGGACGGTGGAGGCCTGGCCCCAGGAGCTGCCTCTGCCCACGCGTGGGGCTTGGTGTCAGGAGAAGGCCAGGGCCCTGTGCTGTGTCCTGTCCTCCCCGGCAGAGCGGGGGAGACCCCTGACCCCCACAGCCCAGCCCCCGAGCAGCTGCGTTCTGAACGTGCGGGCTCCCGCGGCCAGCTCTCTGACTTCCTCTTGGAGAGTAGACCAGGCTGACCGCTCTGTCCCCACCCCAGTTTGACGGCCTGCCCCTGGAGGAGGAGGTGCTGGAGGGCGACGGGTCCCTGGAGAAGGAGCTCGCCATCGACAGCATCATTGGGGAGAAGATTGAGATCATCGCGCCCGTGAGCCCCCCTTCGCTAGACTTCAACGACGAGGACATCCCCACCGAGCTCAGTGACTCTTCCGACACCCACGATGAAGGTGGGCGTCTGACAGCGGGGGCAGAATGGCACTTCCTGTCTCCAAACATTTTGAAGGCTTAACGGATGTTCCCACATGGAGACTGGAGTCAGTCTGGGCTCCTGGCGGAAGGGTGGGTGGGTAAAACAGCTCTTTTAAAAAAGGTGCACTTGTTATTAGCAAACATCCCTTTTTTCAGGCACTCACTGTAGTATCCTTGTCGTTTTATATTTGTCTTTGCCTTTTCTTTTTTTTCAGTTTTTTTTTTTTTTGAAACATCTTTCTTGGAGTACGATTGCTTTACAGTGTTGTCTTAGGTTGTCTGCCATTTAGTCTGTCACTCCACGTGCCCCCTGTTGGCGTGCCCTGCAGCTCTGCCCCTCACAGTGTTTACGCGTATACGCCACAAGCAAAGTGCCAGTCCGCTGGCCCTGGAAACACATTTTAACAGACACTTGCTTTGGTGGCTCCAGCATGGGGATTTCGGACCTAGACTGTTGCCTGGTCAGACAGACTGAGGAGACTGCCCTTCTCTCTCATACTTCTAAGTGGGTAGCTTCTTAACTTCCCTCCTGCATAGGGTTGGCATCTAGCCCTCCCTCGGGAACACGCTGCCTCTGACATTCCAGGACGAGAGGCCAGATTCTCAGTGTTCACGAGTATGGTTGATGGCTTACCTCCTTTGAGTGGGTGGTGGGTTCTGACTTGCGAGGCTGTGCAGACAGTGCTCACTTACCCACCTGGGGATGGTCTCCTGTGAGTCACCTGTAGGGGTATTCTCAACTGTGGTGGGCTTGCCCACTGCCATCTGGGGTGCAGGGTCAGCGCAAAGGACTGCACAGGTGGGCACCACCTAAGAACCGGGGTGCCGCCGTGTAAACCGAGAAGTAAGAATCCCCCGAGCTGTGCGCCACAGTCCTGATCCTGCAGTCAAGGGCATGGACGCTCCAGGATGCTCGTGAATTCCTCTCTGGCCTTCTCAGGGTCACAGGGATGCCAGAAATGGCAGTGTTCTTCTTGAGATCAGATAACAGCCCCTGCAGGGGCAGTAATTCGGGCCTGTGGGGTGCCGAGGGCTCAAGAGGAATGCTGGGGTTTGAGCAACTCACCTGTACTCAGAAACTCTCTCCTGCAGAAAATGAAATTTTTTGAAGGGGGTATATAGGCTGCTTTATGGAAGGAGAGCAGACCTTGTGCAGAGATCACGGCCCTGCAAACCAGGCCAGCCTCAGAAGCTTTTGTAAAAACAGATTCATCAGCGTCCCTGGACACACCAGTGCCGTGGGTTGCAATGACACTTGCTGTCAATTGTGGTTTAACTTACAGACTCTTGATAACTGATCCTCTGGGTTCCGGCAAGCCCAGGAAGTAGTCATCTATTTAGACTTTGGTCTAAGATCACTTTAATTAGGAAGGCTTGAGAGTGTAAAGGCAAATAGCACGTTCCCAAACTCTTTGTAAAGCTAGAGTCCGTAACGTGCATGCCCGCTGAGGAAGGAGGCCGACTGACGCAAAGCCACGGACGGCGGAGGCCAGGGCCCCGCTGCCCCGCTCCGTGGCCTCCTTGGAGCCTTGGTGGCCGTTCCCACATTAACCACGGAGGGTGCTCTGGGGGGTGTCCCTCACCTTCCCTGTCTCCCTCCTCATCCTCTCTGCAGGGGAGGTCCAGGCCTTCTACGAGGACCTGAGTGGCCGGCAGTACGTGAATGAAGTCTTCAACTTCAGCGTGGACAAGCTGTACGACCTCCTGTTCACCGACTCGCCCTTCCAGCGGGACTTCATGGAACAGCGACGCTTCTCAGGTCCGTCCCTCCCAGGGCTGGTGCCTCCCACCCCTTCCCTCTCTGTCCACTCTCCTTTCCTCTCCTCCCAAGCGCCCTCCTTTTCCAGGCCGCCTGATGGCCCTGGGCGCTCCCTCTGTGGCCTCACGCAGTGCCGGAGCTCCTCGGGGCCCTGCGGGCTACTCCTCCCCGCGCCACCACGGCTGTACGCTCGCCCGTGGTGCCCAGACCCTCGGTGCCGGGCCCCAAAGGCTCAGCGGCGAACAGGATCCGCCAGGCTCCCCGTCTAGTAGAGAGTAGCAGCCACCACGTCCTGTCGGCACCTGCTGTCCGCCAGGCACGTTACACTGTCTCATTCAGTCCTCCAGTCTGCCCTGTGTGCCAGGATTGTGATCCCCACGGTACCAGTTAGGATGCTGAAACTCAGGCCATTATTAGACGCCCAAGGTCATGCAGCTAATAAGAAGGGGCCCAGCTGGGATTCAAACCTCAGGCTCTCAGAGTTGATGCTTGGCACCTGTGTGCTCCGTGCCCCTGCTCGGCCGCACCGCAGGGACCGGCAGGGCTGCTCAGGGTCCGGGTCTGTGGAAGAGCACTTGGGCATCGGCGAAGCCCTCTGCCAGGAGGAGGGGAGAGCCGAGGGCACGGGGAGGTCATGCCTCGGAGCAGAGGGCTTGGTCCCAAGGATCCCAGGCCCTCATCACAGTAACTCCAGTGTTGCCAGCTCCCCCGTAGGTGGCCCCAGGACCTCCTGCCCGAGCCCCAGAACAATCAACATTCTGGAGCCCTGTGTAGGATTTCGGCCATGCTACAATGAGCTTCTTTCTGCTTTGACGCCCCCTCCTCTCACCCTCCTCCCCCGGCCCTCAGGCTCCCATTGGCTTCCTTTTGGGGGCCAGTCGGCAGTCAGTACAGTCAAGAGAAGGGCACTGGAGTGGACGTTCAGATGTGGGGATGGCACGCCTCTCTCCCTCCATCATCCCACCTCTCTCCCCTCAGATATCATCTTCCATCCGTGGAAGAAGGAAGACAATGGAAACCAGAGCCGAGTAATTCTTTACACCATCACCCTTACCAACCCTCTGGCTCCCAAAACTGCCACTGTCAGGGAGACACAGGTGAGCCCCGGGCAGAGGCCAGTAAGGGCGGGCTGGAGAAGCCTCTGTTCTGTCGTGGAGGATTCAGGAGAGACGTCAGGAAGGAGTGTCTGGGTGACGGTGTTGATTAGCCCTGAAACGGCGGCGTTTGACATGCTTAGAGGCTGCCGTTTCCCGTGGTTCTGGGTCCCCGTTCAGAAGTTGGGGGTGGGCTGGGGAGGTTAGGAAGGAGGCGCTTTCCCCGTCTTGCTGCTCGTCAGCCTCGTGCCACGACCCTTTCCTCCCCACAGACCATGTACAAGGCGAGCCAGGAGAGCGAGTGCTACGTGGTCGACGCCGAGGTCCTCACGCACGACGTGCCGTATCACGACTACTTCTATACCATCAACCGCTACACCCTGACCCGCGTGGCCCGGAACAAGAGTCGACTCAGGTGCTGTCTCTACGGCCGAGCGGGTGCGGAGCAAGCTCCTTGTGCGCCTGGGGGAGCTTGCAGCGGAAAGCGTGGATGTGCTCCTGGGGAGGAGGGGGAGGCTGGGTGTACCGGCTGCTGCCTCAGCCTTTATTCTGTCTCCTCTCCGGAGCCTCCGAGACCCCCCCGCATCCTGACGGTTCATGCTTGTCTCCACCACGTGTTCCCTTTACCCCTCTGTGTGCCTCTTTAGTGAACTTTTACGACCACTGCTGTTTAGGGGTTGTGTCTGCAGAGTTTATAAGACCCTGTGGACGCACTTCACCTCCAAGAGCTGCTGCTTTAGAATAACCCGAGGAGGTGGGTTTACCCTCACTTTTCAGATAAGAAAGCTGAGGGTCATACAAGCTCAGTAACTTTTCCAAGAGTCAAAAGTGCTGAAATCCAGGTCTTAGAAAAGCAAGTCTCTGCCCCTCCCACCCTGCTGGGTGCTGGGCTTGTTGCGAGTTCCCGCGCCTGTGTCTCTCTGGGTGGCAGCTCCGGCCATCCTGGCCGGCAGGAGTCCCAGTCCACACACAACACTGTGTTCCCAGCACCCAGCACGGGGCCTGCACACAGCAGAGTCAGGAAAGGTTGATTGAATGATTAGTTAGATGCCGTTTGTGGGTCGAGTCCTGTCCTGGGCGCTGTGACGTGCATTCAAGGAAGGAAGAAATTTAGACCCTAACATTCTACGAAGCTTGTAGTCTGACGGAAAAGCCAAGACACACACCCATTTGAAAATAACCGATCGTGTACCTGTACCTTAGACCCAGTTCTTCTGTTATACGGAGCAGAAATTCACTCACGTTCAAATAACATAGGAGTTTGGTGAAAGGCTGCGAGAGATCTCTGGGGAATCAGGAAGATCTGAATACCCACACCTTGAAAAGGGACGAAGCTTTCTCATTTTTTTTTTTTTTTTTTTTTTTTTTTTTTTTTTTGGGC